GTGTGCGCGGGGTGAAGCGTAGAGTGAGAGTGTGTACATCAACACTTCTAAGAGGGGCCAAGGTTGAGAAACACGCTCTAAATAAAGACTGAACAGGGTAGTTATAGGATGGGAACGTACAGCTTGGCAGCAGTGCATGTAAAAACAATTTGGGGATTTCAGGTAATCACAAGCTAAACATGTGTTTTTAGACTATGTTAAGACAACCATGGTTTGCAAGGCAGGACAAATGAACATTCTCTTTGCTAAATCAGTTTGAACTGGCATGTCAAGTTATTGAGCGTTCAGAAGGATTTAGACCAACCGGAAAGTTTGAGAGGTCTGCAGTGCAGGCACCCAGGGATATGGGAACAAAACTGGGTAAGGAAACCTTTAGCTCAGAGGATACAAGGGTGAGAAATGCTATGATATCGCTGTTCCAAAATCTGAAGGGCCGTCTTTGATACTCTGGGAGTCTACATGAGATCTAAGGGGCTTAAGACAGAGGAGGCGGCTTAGGAAAAAATCCTTAATGGTAAGAACAACTGAATCCTGAAATAAACCATTTTCCCTGGACAACCTGTTCATTCATGGCCTTTCCCTCTTTCCTTTCCATGTCAATAATCCTGAAAAATATGGGAAAGCTGCCGTCCGGAATAACACAGGCCGACCTATCCAAGAAGCCCAAAAGTCAACCTGAACCTCTTCAAAAATCCTCAGGAGACTGTCCTGAGAACCAGAGATTGGTCTCTGGAGAGCTGCGCCAAAGCTTGGAGGCCACGTAAAGCAGTGTCCAAAGCCACAGAAGCTGGACCTCTCAGACACAAGATTTACCTCAGGTTGGTGAACCCACCTGGTTGCCACACTCTCCCCTTCGGTATTCCCACCTCACGGGGAGGCTGGTCACACTGATGCCTTGCAAAGAGCTGCACTCCAGACACAGTGAAGAGCTGCACGAGTGCGGAGTATTTTCCTTGGCTAGGTTAATTTGCAGCTTTCAGGTGAACGCTGCTGGAAGGAAGGCAACACCAAAGTATGCTGTACCATACAATGTCAATGCTCACCTTCCTGGGTCATGAAGTCATCTTCGGCAAATCTGTTCAAATTCCCACAGAGTCCACAAGTCCTGTTATAGTGCTTCTCTGCAAGGCTTAGAAGGATGTTCCCGCTGATGTCCATCTTCACCACAAAGCCATGCTCCTCACTGGACAGCTTGGAATAGCCTGCTTCCCTTTCCAGAAAGACTCCATATGAGGCATACGGAATTAAAATCCTGTTACAAGAGGAAGAACCCGTTTCCTTAGTGTTAGGTGCAGAAAATAATGCACTTCTTTTGATTCTGGAATCTCGCTATTGAGGTGACCAAAACATTTACCTCTTTTCACCTTGAGTCACAGTGCCATCTAAGAATAAATGGATATCAAAATATTCTCCAAGGTACAGAGAAAGGCTGATTCTTTTCCCATTGCGATAGTCCCCTGAAACGAAACAAGTGATTCATGGCGTTTCTCCTAACAATGATTTGCTTGTTCTTTTTAGCAATTCTGGGTAAATTATGAGAAACAATTGTTCTTATTTTGTTAAACATGCATTTAGTATACCAGCTCTTCGGTCTGCTGATTTCTAAAAGTCATGTAAAACCTTCAAGGCCAGGGGTGTCCACAGAAAATGGTAAAAAAAAAAAGTAAAGATGACCACCTTGAGCATCCAATTCACCAATTTTTTACGTGCACAGGCAAAACACACAAAAAATGGAAAATGCAAACCAAGTAAGTCTGCAGGAAACTTCAGATGAAAAGAAGTTCTCTACCATCTTTAACTGAAGTGCAAAATGGCTTTTCTTGGAATGGAAAAGAATCATAGGAAAGACTGCAAAGATCACCTAGCCTTGTGACTTGATGGCACAAGAAATCTAACTGCTACATCATCCCTGATAGGCAGACATCAAAAATCCATTTGAAACCTCTAGTGAAGGAGAATCCACTAGGGCAACATGATATTCTGTGGAACAGCTCCCAACTCTAGGAAGTTCCCTGACATTTAACTGAAATGCTCATTCTTCTAATTTGCCAAGAACTGGAGAACTTCAGACCACGTTCTGGCTCCAAGGGGCATTCAACAGCATGTTCAAAATGCAGTTAAAACTCACCAAGTAATAGGAAAGATCTTTTTTCACAGTCTCCAGCCAGCAGGTAACTGCAATCGCCAGCAAAATCATACAGCAGCTCGTCAAAGGTTTTAATGTGATCGTCTCCGAAGAGGCTACAGCGTGCAAACGGTGGAGAGACTTCTCTTTCCCCTGCAACACCATGATTAGCTAATTTAGGAGGCCCAAAGCACAGGATGTCCTATGCAGTTCTACCGTTTTCAAATGAGAGACAAATGTCAGCAACGGTCAGCATGCAAAGGGACAAACTAGAAACTGAAATGGCCCCAACCCAGTCAATAACATTTTTTAAAAGGCCTACCCTAGCCCCAACCCCTGCATGAAATGAAGTCAAAAAAGAGCTGGGCAGGGTTTGCACTGAATGTGAGGAACACGAGCTGCAGCAAAAGAGGAGGAGGGACAGAAAGCAAGGGAGCCCTTGGGGTTCCTCTCTGCCTCTTTTTCTTTTAGCAAAGCCCACAGACCTGGGATACGACAAAGTAGGAAATGCAGCAGTGTTCCTTTCCTCTTATAGCACTACTGATCCAGTAGAAAATGAGAGTTTTTGTTAATATACACTAAGCCACCATGTGGTTTGCTAGGATTCCCTTAGGAAACTCAATAAGTTTTGGATTCCAACTACTTGCAATCCTTTGTCCAGGTATCAGACCAGGTCACTGCATGGAACAAAACAGGTATAGCATGAGACATCTGGGGTGGGGGGGGGGAGGCTGGTAAAGTGTTAATACATATTAATGACTTGACAGCCACCATCGGGTAATGAAGTGAGATATTTTGTAGCGTAACTATGCTCTGAGCAAAAAGCTTGTACTAATTTCACAAGTTGTTTGAACAAGAATGTCATGATGATAGGATGACTGAGTGGGCAAAGGATGGACCACACGTCTTCTTACCCAGTGCCGGTACAGGCAGAGCTAAGAGCAGCAGCAGGAAGAATCTGGACCCAGTCATCTATGAAATAATTGTTTAAAAAGAGTAATTAGGAGAAAAATCCATACTGTGCAGCACCATTCTGTTATCTCTGGATTAAACTGGGTTTGCTCCAAGGAAGGATGGCAGAATGTTAGCCTAGCTAAATCTTATCGGTTGTTGGTTTTTTCTTTTGTTGGCATTCATATCTAGTCAGGTCAGTTCCCAATATTAAACATTTTGGGAACCTGTGTAGAAATACTGCAGTCACTCCAACACTGTCTAAATACAGTAGTCAAAACGACCTAGAAATTAGGACAGCGCCCCATGGGGAGCATTGTCTTTTGAATCACAAGTCAGAACAAGTTCTAAAGTACTTTGAGTTCAATGCAACCTTACAAAGATCCCCTTGGATAACCCAGGCGGAGGCTGTCTAGCGAACTTCACTGCTAACCAGGAGTCCAACACCCAACGCAAGACCAGCCACCTTGTAAGCTCTTGGGATTCCTTCAGGTCCTATCCAAAGTTCAGGAGTGATCATCGCATCCAACACATTGTTAGTCAAGAAGCTGTGACACAGCTTTTGCCCAATTCTCATTCCAGGAACAGTTGTTTGCATCCAACACAATCAGAACAATAATGTTAAACCCAATCATCTCCCCTCCTTACATTTATAAATGGACCCTGGAGTTACTTTTCGGCCTGCTGGCCAACGCTCAGCCGCACTGAGCATGAGCCATGTTGCCTCTTTTAAGAACAGCATAGATACCTTTTCATGTGCCAGACTCCGCTGCCCATCAACAATGAGCCTCTCCAGTGGTGGGAGCTCGCCAGCTGCAGGAAGCTACATGGGACTGGCCTTGCCGACTATTTATCCCAATTGTACAAGACAGGCAGGAACTCTTGTTCGTTCGAGGGAAAGATAAAGGCAGGCTGTTGCTTCCGCCCAGTCCTTAACACAATGCTGTGATCAGGAAAATCAGCTGCTTTAATGGTGCCCAAGGAACAATGAAAGGAAGTTGTATTAAATACTTTTGCAGGACAGATCAACCTTTGAAATAAAATTCTGCTTCGGTATTGCAAGTGAGATTGGAAAGTCAGTTAAAAGAAGGGGAACTAAAGAATGAGATCTCCTGGAGCAAAAAGAGGTCGATAAATCCAATCTTTACCAGTTTTTCCAGGCATGTGTCTAGCTCACTCTGCCCAAAATACAGATGAATCAGAAAAATACATGGATTAGGAGAAAAGCACAATGAAATGCATCTAATTTGTATGAATTCCTTTTCAAATTCTTAGATGAATGAGGAAATGGGATCCAAATAAATATTATGGAGTCAGACAAATGAGTAACTAAGCAAATATTAATTTTTTCACCTATCCCTATCAATAAAACTGTACTTTCCACACAGCAGAGTAGACAGGCCCTATTTTTGCAGGACTGACATTTTTCCCAGAGAATAAAAACTGAACGAAAGCCAGCATCCATGTCATCCCTCCATCTTGCCTGTATTCTTGGTATTGACATAGGCTGAACACATGGCACACTTCTGCACATTCCAGCCCCTCATTCAAGAGGATCAGGAGCTGGATTAAGGACCTGGTGAAATCTATTAAAACTAATCCCACTTCTGACACAACATTCCCTGTTTCCAAGGGACCTTTCGAACCCTGAATAAATAGACCTACATAACTATTTTTCCTGCAGTAACTCTGTTGAAGAAAAATGCTGGGCATGCATTGAAAACCTAACGTGTGGAGTTCTTCCTTAGCACGAAAAGCAGCGCTTGAGAGAAGGGAAATTTGGGGTCTTGGAGTCATCCCATTCAGGGCAGGAAGCCAAATCAAAACATGCAGGAGAGATGGCTGTTTGGCTTGACCACATCCATGGTTGACCACAGGAGCCCACTGCCTGTCTGGAGAACTGAGCCCACTGTCTTGGCACTCTGTGTGACCTTTTCTCAAGGTCCCGAAAAGGCCTTTCCTTTCAAGGCTGTGTAGTCCTAATCCCGTCATCTCTTCTCCCAGAACCAGCTCTTTCCTTCTGGGCATCTGATTTGATTTGATTTGTTTCCTAAGTCAGTAGTTTATCTCCATTAATTTCTCTCCTTTTGCCTTTACCCCTCATCCCATTTCTCCAGCTGCTCAAGATCATTTTGAAATTGTTGCCGTCTTCGAGGGTACTAACTCCCTACCCATTTTGTGTCATCAGCAAATGCGATAGGCCTTCCTTCCGCCTCATCAGCCCAGTCATGAATCAGAAGGTTAAGGAGCTGACAGGACTAGCACTGGCCACCTGATACTCCCTTTATGTCTACTTTCATCAAGATCTCCACCAACTTTCACGCCAGTCACAGATCCTCTTCATTGTCCTGCTAGTCAGCATGTCATCGGGTAATTCATCAGAGGCTCTCCCGAAATTAAGATGCATTTGGTCTACAGAACTCCGAAACTTACCAGGGACGTTTTAGCTTCTACGCCTAGCCAATCCGCACTGACCCCTCATGTCCTGTTCTAAATCTTCTCCAGGGTTGCGATCTACTTGTCTCCTGTTCCCTGGATCCTCTTTCTGAAGGGAGGGTAAATATCTGCCATGCCGCACCTCGCCAGTTCTCCAGGATGCTCACCTTTAAGGGAGGGCAGCGACATCTCGCCTTCCCCTCCCTCCATTCCAGCCACTTGTCGCCCCTTCGCTTTCCACAGTCTCTTTGTCGATGCTGCCTTCGTGGGACTCTCCAGCACACAGACGATCCCGGCCCAGTGAACACAGCATGGCCTCTTCCCTCCTGACAGCAGGAGGCACCAACTCCCTTGTCCCAGACTCCGCTCTTCTGCTTACTGACCGGATTCTGTCCAGGCAGCACAATCCTGTACGAGGCTGTGCTGTTGAGGAGTCAGTCCCACCGACTTGAATAGGCCCTTTCCCAGAATGCCTTGCAGCCTTGAAAATGGAAGTGGGGTCATGCTCTTCCCACACTTATTAATGTTAGCAGTCTGAGCGCATTTATTTTTTATTTTTATTTATTATTTCAATTTGTATGGCTGCCCATTTCAAATCCATGACTTTGGCAGCCTACAGCAATCAAGAAACTGCGTAAAAGAACAAAGAGCAATATAAAAAAACACACACAAAAACCATACCGGCCTTATGTCAATGCGCTGCACGCTTCTCCTAGTTGGTGGGATGCTACAGCATGTTGGCTGCAAGGCGAGATTGTGGCTTGCACAGAATAGGTGAGCATGTTTGCACCACGCCTTTGGTGTGCCTGTGGCACATGGTCTAAATTGACTGGAACTGGCCTTACCGTTAGCAGTGAATGCTGCATGTGTCAAGCGTGTGGTTAAAGTCTGTATTCCAGTTTACTCCTTCCTTCCTTCCTTCCTTCCTTCCTTCCTTCCTTCCTTCCTTCCTTCCTTCCT